ATCGGCAGCGGAACTACGAAGGGGGATCGATCGGCGAGGTGAAGGGCGATCGACGCCCGTACACCGTTGCTTAGCACCGAGTCCGTAATCTCGAGGAAAATCCATTGAAGCTTGGCGCCAGTCGATCCAGCCTCGATAGTGAGGAAGACCTGTCACATTGAGGACCTGTTACCTTCGCTCTCAGTTTGCAGGTGAGCTAGCGAGCGTCTCGTGCGTCGAGGAGATGAGTTTAATACCCGTTTTAGGCAATATGAACGATACATTTTCATCTTCTAAATTTGAAGAGCACAATGAAGAAATTTTAGCTTGCCCTTAATGTCAGTATTTGATAGCATAGAACCCAGAAATTTCAGAGTGAATTGAACCACACTTTGATATGGATCCGAGTCTGATATCCACTTTGAGTTATATGCACAAGTCACAATCTATTGTCTAATCCATGAATTGCACCTTACCTTATTGCAGCGTACTCCATAATTTTTCTTTATAAAATATTTTCAATTGGGAGAACTTTTTGTTGTTTAATTTAACGGACTTGTAGCGTCAATTATTGACATGTTGCATTCGTTGCATTTACATTCCTCAGTGCACTTATGTTCTGAGGCTAGATGCCTTTAAAGATTAAACAAATCCCTTGCGCGAATTCGGCATGCAAAATCAAGCACACTCTGATAAAAGTCAGACTGGCAAAGCTGCGTAGTAGTATGACACGATCTAATGACGTGCTGAACCGCATCTAACAAGCACCGTGTCATTAATTATGAATCCGGCGCGTAGAACACGCTCCATGGTATCAGGAAGGATCAATGATGGATCAATCCCGCCTTTCCACCTCGTAACTTTTTCGGGAACCACAATTCCAGGCATTGAGATAACCTGGCGAGTGTAACAGAGTCCTTCGTAAAGTAAATCCGATTTCCATTATGTGAAGACATACTGCATGGGAATGCAGATAGAAACATGAGAGTTTCCTTAATCTTAATGTTGCTTTCCGCTTTGAAATAGGGAGATGAGGTTGCAGGGCGAGGAAATGTATTGCATCTTGAGTTTATTTCACTACTGTGATTCCTGTGTAGACGCTTTCTTTTCATTTTGCAGATTGATGATTTACGAAAGGCAGGGATGAAGAATTACTTGGAAAAAAAGACTATCGAATCGGATTTTAAAATGTGCGTGCCTTTCTCGCGGATGAATGAAAAGATTCCCATTTAGATATCCGCTGCATAATGCTACCACAAATTTAGTGTCATTTAGCCTTGTGTGTGTACCATTCCTTGAACTTCGATCTTGTAACGGAGTTCAGGTGGTTCTGAGGGCCCCAACATTTTATTCTTTAATTTATTAATTTAGGCTGATCCGACGTTCACAATGGTACGCATCCACGGGAAAGCAAGTGCACCCAGCATGAAGCGAAAAAGGGAAGAAGCCGAGAATGTGACTGACTTCAGGAAAGATAATGAACCGAAGGATGAGACTGATAAGGAGAGCGAGATAGCATTGGGATAGCATTGGCCTCAAGGATGGGATTTCCCTGAAAGACAGCATTGGCCTCACGGACAGCATTGGCCACAAGGGCAACGTTGGCCTCCAGGACAGGATGGGCCTCCAGGAAAGCATTGGCCTCCAGGAGAGCATTGGCCTCAAGGACGGGATTTTCCTGAAGGAAAGAATTGACCTCCAGGGCAAAATTGACCTTGAGGACAAAATTGACCTCCAAGGCAAAATTGACCTCCAGGGCAAAATTGACCTCGAGGACAAAATTGATCTTGAGGACAAAATTGATCTTGAGGACAAAATTGATNGACCTCCAGCAATGAAGGATTCCGTTCTATGCTGTTTCTCGGCGACTCAGTCATAACATTCTACTTTTTAATTTACAATTATATTTTCTAATTTTCTTGCCATTACATTCTAAAGTTACTATGCCATTACATTTTCCATTTACCTTGTCATTACATTCTCCAATTACCTTGCCATGCTACTTTTACTTTGTTGTTAGAATACCTTATAATATTGTCAATACATTGTCCTATTGCAAATGAATTTGAAGTATTTGAAATTATGATGTTGCTCTCCTTCGAGGAGTGCGGCTTTACCCGAATATCCTGCAAAGTCAATTAAAATGACAAACCTTCGTATTTGTCCTGGGAAGATGGGTGAACTGTTCCGCGCTTCGCCGCGTCCATCATCTACATGATGAGTTATAATAAATTCTCATTTCACAGGTTCATGAATTCGCCTCACCGCGATGAAACCATTTGAATGGGAATGAATGCAATCGACAATCTCTTCTCCGTGAATGCAATTAGAAGGAAATGCATCGAGCGGGCGAGTCCTATGTGAGGCCATTGCAAATACTGACAACAGAAACGAGAAATGGGAAAGATGGCAGAACTCACGTTTCCCATGCTGAATCGGCAGCGGAACTACGAAGGGGGATCGATCGGCGAGGTGAAGGGCGATCGACGCCCGTACACCGTTGTTTAGCACCGAGTCTGTAATCTCGAGGAAAATCCATTGAGGCTTGGCGCCAGTCGATCCAGCCTCGATAGTGAGGAAGACCTGTCACATTGAGGACCTGTTACCTTCGCTCCCAGTTTGCAGGTGAGCTAGCGAGCGTCTCGTGCGTCGAGGAGATGAGTTTAATACCCGTTTTAGGCAATATGAACGATACATTTTCATCTTCTAAATTTGAAGACAACAATGAAGAAATGTTAGCTTGCTCTTAATGTCAGTATTTCATAGCATAGAACCCAGAAATTTCAGAATGAATTGAACCACACTTTGATATGGATCCGAGTCACATATCCACTTTGAGTTATATGCACAAGTCACAATCTATTGTCTAATCCATGAATTGCACCTTACCTTATTGCAGCATACTCCATAATTTTTCTTTATAAAATATTTTCACTTGGGAGAACTTTTTGTTGTTTAATTTAACGGACTTGTAGCGTCAATTATTGTCATGTTGCATTCGTTGCATTTACATTCCTCAGTGCACTTATGTTCTGAGGCTAGATGCCTTTAAAGATGAAACAAATCCCTTGCGCGAATTCGGCATGCAAAATCAAGCACACTCTGATAAAAGTCCGGCTGCCAAAGCTGCGTAGTAGTATGAAACGATCTAATGACGTGTTGAACCGCATCTAACAAGCACCGTGTCATTAATTATGAATCCGGCGCGTAGAACACGCTCCATGGTATCAGGAAGGATCAATGATGGATCAATCCCGCCTTTCCACCTCGTAACTATTTCGGGAACCACAATTCCAGGCATTGAGATAACCTGGCGAGTGAAACAGAGTGCTTCGTAAAGTAAATCCGACTTCCATGTACACTTCTGTATGACGTACCCTTACGTCTATCTTTGTACTCTCAAAGGAATTAGAATTACAACGAAAGGCGAAACTTTATCCCTCTACTCCAACGTCCCGCTCCTTTACATAACGTAGAACTCAAAATTTCACTACTGTGATTCCTGTGTAGACGCTTTCTTTTCATTTTGCAGATTGATGATTTACGAAAGGCAGGGATGAAGAATTACTTGGAAAAAAAGACTATCGAATCGGATTTTAAAATGTGCGTGCCTTTCTCGCGGATGAATGAAAAGATTCCCATTTAGATATCCGCTGCATAATGCTACCACAAATTTAGTGTCATTTAGCCTTGTGTGTGTACCATTCCTTGAACTTCGATCTTGTAACGGAGTTCAGGTGGTTCTGAGGGCCCCAACATTTTATTCTTTAATTTATTAATTTAGGCTGATCCGACGTTCAAAATGGTACGCATCCACGGGAAAGCAAGTGCACCCAGCATGAAGCGAAAAAGGGAAGAAGCCGAGAATGTGACTGACTTCAGGAAAGATAATGAACCGAAGGATGAGACTGATAAGGAGAGCGAGATTGACCTCGAGGATAGCATTGGCCTCAAGGATGGGATTTCCCTAAAAGACAGCATTGGCCTCACGGACAGCATTGGCCACAAGGGCAACGTTGGCCTCCAGGACAGGATGGGCCTCCAGGAAAGCATTGGCCTCCAGGAGAGCATTGGCCTCAAGGACGGGATTTCCCTGAAGGAAAGAATTGACCTCCAGGGCAAAATTGACCTCGAGGAAAACTTTGGCATTGAGGAATATATTGCCATCGAGGAAAGTATTGACATCGAGGAAAACATTGACCTCAAGGACAATATTGACCTCATAGGCGAGATCACTTCCAGCTACAGAACGGAATGCGAGAAACCGGATCGTGTGACGTCAGCTGGATCGGACAAGGACTTGAGCCTCCCCGAGTTCTTCGGTAACTGCCTCGACTTACACCTCCTTGACTCTTTTTCTGAACGGGAACCTGAGCTAGGTTTGCACTCTAGCTTCCCCCCGTCCTTGTGGGAGGAGTACATACGTCGGAGAGATGTCCTTTAAGCAAAGATTCAGGTGTTTAATCCCCGTCATATCCATATTTCGATTCGTGGAAACTTCTTACCCTGGCGGATTTCTTTTTTAAAATTAAACTTGCTAATAAATGCTTCTCCTTTCTCTTATAATACCGTTACTTCTCTCCTCTTTTCACTTATTATTTATATCACCTCACTTGACTTTATATAATGTACCAGGCGGTGCTCACTTCGCATAGCATAATACGATGGCATTGATTTCTCGAAAGGTATTGCTCGACAGCGGCGCAGTCGTGGATGCAACTGACTCCAAGGGGAACACGGCCCTTCATGCTGCTGCTCTTTTCGGTATAGAAGCAAGCATGATATTGCTCATACGGGCTGGCGCCGACGTCAACGCAATGAACAGGTGTGGGTTTTATACAGTGTGATGCAGAAGTCACGCAACACGCTCATCAAATGCGAGGGGGAAACATTTATTAACAAGCGAGTACGCTTCTCGTCATTGAATCTGCCCGTCTCATGGAAACGCTGAATGAGCCCAGCTATCGCTGATTTATTTGGTTCTTGTGTGTCCAGGAACGCTTGCTTAAATGCATCCTGACATGCTAGGTGAGATTTAGCTTGAAATAATGCTAGAGAATAAGAACACGTTGTGGCTATGAAAAAGTCGTATTTCCAGTTTCACAGTCAATTCAACAATAAGTTGGACTACAGCCACTCAAAGCCATGCGCATAAAATCACGGGTATTTGCACTGAGATCATTGTTGCCACATCTAAAACTACCGGAAATATTTATTTGTCACATACAAAGTCACATTTGGTGAGGGATGCGACTTCTGAATCACCCTGCATATTCAGCAAGAGATTAAAGGCACATTATACAGTACTTATAAGTGTTGGATTGCAAAAAGGAATCAAAGGAATGGACTGAAGCATTCAGAGAAGCATTCAAGTGCTTCATGAAAGTATTATGTACAGCGTACTTGCTGCAGGAAGAGTAAATGAGGAATCCGCTTGGAGACCGGTTTTGGCCCATAGGTCAGGTACTTTCTTGCTATTCTTCTGCAGCCTTAAGGGCAATGACTTTTTACTATTTTAAAAATATTAATTTTGGTCTCTCCGAAATTCCTCTTCCCCCCTGGCAAACCTAAGAACAGATGTATGCCCGTCTCCAGGTACAAGGAGAGG